CTAGAAGTGATCCTTCGTTAGCGTGAATAGTCTGCTAAGCTTTACGCGCTCTGCAGTAAAAAAAAAGAACGCAGCCCCACCCGCCCATCACTCTGTGTGACTCCCGCTTGTGTGTCTTTCCGCTTCCTGGGCACCATCATCGCCCAGGACCTCAAATGGACCTCGTCAAAAAAGCCCAGCAGAGGATGTTCTTCCTGAGGCAGCTGAAGAAATTCAACCTGCCAAAGACGATGATGGTGAACTTCTACACCTCCATCGTCGAGTCCATCCTCACCTCCTCCATCACCATCTGGTATGCCGCAGCCACAGCCAAGGATAAGGGCAGGCTGCAGCGGGTCATCCGCTCTGCAGAGAAGGCGATCGGCTGTAATCTGCCATCCCTCCACGACCTGCACGCCTCCAGAACCCTGAGGCGGGAAGATAGTGGCCGACCCCTCCCACCCTGGACACAAACTGTGTCCCTCTGGCAGGAGGCTGCGCTCCATCAGGACCGAAACCTCTCGCCACCTGAACAGTTTCTTCCCCTCCGCTACCGGCCTCTTAAACAAAGGCCCCCACTAACACTTACCTCAGCCACAACCTAGTCTCTATTTGCATTACATTAATGCACACAATGTTCATACTGCTTACTGCACATATTTCTTGTTTCATATTGTCTAACTAATTCACCTGCATTCTATTTGCCTTGTAAATTACTGCTCTATTTTTAAATGCTCTATCTAACTAATATTTTTATTACAGTGTCCTTAAGGATTTTTTTGTTAGTATATGGAGATTTTTTGTTTTAGCTATTTTATGTATGCTGCACCCAACCGACATCAAGTCAAATTCCTCGTATGTGTTTTTTGGAACCTAGCCGGCAATAAACCCGTTTTGAATTCTGATGAGCAGACACTATCACATCATTTTGAGATCAATACTGTTATGCCACCTAGTACCTGATCCGACACAGCAAGCCATGCCATAGGGTTTAATTTATTTGTTCTTACATTTTAATTTGTTTTATTTATATAAAGGCACTTGTTTTGTGTTTTTTTTTTGTTTTTAAGGTTCTTATTGGATAATATTTTTTAACTTGGCTGTTTGCCAATGAAAGATATTGTATGTATTTCCGAGTCAAAATGAAGGTCGAAATTAAATTAATTCCTCCTATTTAAGTAATTTTTATTTCCCTGGGATGCAAGTTAAAGTAGAATAAAATATTGCAAGGCAGTTTTCTACTAACATGTCTTTTGCTACACGTTTACACCCCAAGCTACGAATGCTATACAAGCAGTGGGTTCCCAAGTGTGGGGCGCGCTGGGGTGCGCAGAGGCATGACAGGGGGGGCGCGAGAGACCAAAGGAGGAAAAATGGTTATTAAAAATAAATTACAAATAAAAATAAATAAATCATCATTTGAAAAAGGGTATTGATTCGAAAATAATATGATACAGTACTCATTACGTCTGGGTCTCTGTGGTTTTCATTAAAAGTGCTCGGCTCTGGTGTGTGTGAAACGAGTCATTTTGTGTGCGTGAGCGGAGACGAGAGAGCGCACCAGTACCCGTGAGATGTCAGACTGAGAAGACTCAGTGGAGCTATAAGGACTCCTCTCAAGTGTAATCTCAAGTGGGTCTCAACGTTTTGGTCACCCATTAATGGTAACACAATTATTTCCGAGGCACACGTTTAGATATGATCATTTATAGTTATACAAAAATAAGAAGATAAATGAAAAACAGGTATGAAATACTATATGACCAGTAAATAACCAAGAATAAAGAAAGTTATTTGTAAAATATCCATAAAGAAAAAGTAAATCTGTTTACAGTTCTGTTTCCAAATGGGTGTGAGAGAGGTATCCATAGAGCATCTTTCCATTTTGCTCTCCAAAGTGCACTAGATTGATCGCCTTTTAGCTTCAATATTTAAAATAAATCTTCCCCGGGGGAGCATGTCCCGGACCCCCTCGTATGTGAAAGGTCCACACAACCACCTATAAAAATAGCACTTGGCCCCTGCTTACAACTATATGCCGTGAGCTGATTATCGAGCCTTCATTGTAAAAGTTGTGGGTACGTTGTGTATTTGCGTGGGGATTGTTGCAGTAGAAAATTCAACTGTAGCGACCGGTACATTAATGGGAAACCCTAAATGTTTGAGCACCCTCTACAAAACGTCAAGCTACCCCACAGGACCCCCAAAATAAGTCTCTGGCGCCGCCACTGAGCCTGACTTGTGTTGGAGGGGCCCGACTTTTTTTTTTCTCCAAAGGGGGGGCCTGACAGAAAAAGTTTGGGAACCATTGCTACAGTATACAGGATTGCTTGAAGTCACATGAATTCATGACAGGACATCAGTTTGAAATTAATGTGAATATGGGAATAATTACACGGGTCAACCTACTGCCAGACATCTGACATGAATTCTGCATGGCTGAAAATGTTATGCCCGACAATAAAAAGTGAAACACTTTCATTTAGTAGAACAGGTTGAAACCAAGTTGTTCATTTTAAAGGCTTTATCCAAGTACATACTTTAACTTATACAAATTCAAAAAAGAATATGACCCAATTCTCAAATAGTTCCCAATGCTCTCACATGATTTCTGCTGTTAGAGGAGCAGAGTGTCTTTTTATTTTTACAAACTTGTTTTTGACTTCTAGGATTTATAACAGTCTCCAGGAAATACTGTCAGGCGATGTTTGCCTTTCTGTAGAGCACTAAGGCAGCGTTTATGGGGATATACTGCTAATAAACACTTGACAATAGCCACAGAAGTCGGTGTTAGTGAGGGTTTATGTGAGGAAACAAGGCGTTCCAGCTAGACTTTATTTTGAGGTGAGCCACATGAGCATGTGTGTGAGCCAGACGCCTGCTCTATTAAAGCTCAAAGGACTGTACTGTACTTGTGTTTCTCTTACAGATGAAAACAAAAAAGGTAAAAACCCCAATATATTAACAGGGATAAAATGAGTCATCGACAAAAATAAAGTCAGGCCACTGAGGACAGAATACAGGGTTGTGTTTTGTTGCCAGTTGGAGTAGAAGAAGTAGAGGAAGTCTAAACTTCAACTAAGCTTTCATTTTCTACTCTAAATCATATTGTGCTCCTCACCAAACGAAATGCCTCTTTAGACCCTCGCAGCTCACATATTTACTTTCATATCGTTTTGATGTTTTTACAACTGGTGATTAATGGCGTTGTGTTTTCTCTGCATGGATCTCTCCTGCAACTCTAACAGAGACTATCAAATTGTTTCAAACAAAGTAGAATTGGTAATTCAAATGAAAAGCTCCAACACTGATTTTGGCATGGTTTCTTAAAACATGCATATTATTCTTAGGCTTGGGAGAAGGTTTACCGTTTTCTCCAGTCAAAAGGCCTTAAGTAAAGTTGCAAGTCCTTTTAGATTTGTAGTCTTAGTCATTGTACCTTGAGTTCAAGTCATGTGACTCGAGTCCACACCTAATGATATGACATTACTCCTCACCTCTGAGGCCCTCCAGCGGGTCGTAACATCCCTCTTCATCACTGACGAAGAAGCGATCGCAGTCCAGGAAGTAGGGCCACGCCATCTCTATCCCGTCAAAAGCGTGGCTGCATCTTTTACGCACCGCCTCACAGGTGGCGCGGCAGGGCTTCAGCACCTTCTCCTTCTCGCAGCGAGGGGCCATCACGGAGCAGCCCAGCATGCGGACATCAGGGTTACACTCCCCCCCGAGCAGCGCCTCCACCACGCTCAGGAGGAGGTACTCTGTACTGCCCTCGGCGTCCTCGCGGGTCTTGTGGTTGAGGATGTTTGGGAACATGTTCTGAGTGTAAGGCATGTCATCGCAGTACGACAGCATCACATCTGTGCATTTGGCTGAGAGACAAAAATTAGACAGGTTAGGAATATCTCAAGAGTAAATCATTACTGAAAGAGACGTTTACATTCCTCACACATTTAATGATGAGCCCAACTGTGCAGTCTTTAATCATCTAGTTCCAAATGTTTCTATTATCTCTGGAAATTAGAATTTGAATATTTTATACTGCCATTGATCATCTAAAAATACACATGATGGTTTTATGGCTTTCGGGCCAGATTCAATAAGGACTACACCCAGTGTGACTTATATTATAATCTCACCAAAACACTGACTCACAGGGATGTTATTGACAACACTCCCGACCTGTCTTGAGGGATTGAGAGCTTGATTGTTCTTTGGTGTAAACAATATTATGTTTTAGGCTTGAACGTGAAAAAAAAGCTTTCCTTTATGGAGTCAAATATTCCTGAGAGACAATCAGTTGACCTAAAATGAATCAAGCTGTAAGACAAACACTTCATAACATTGTTTTCTCTCCAAGAACGACTGGGTACTTACGTTTTTCTTCCACTGTTGGCTTGCACTGACCTGCAAGACACATCATCAGCATGTCATTAGATTACTGTGGAGACACTAGATGGCAGACTGGTCATACCTCAATGTGAATTACAAAATACTTGATTTATCTCTGGTTATGCTTTAACAGTTCCCTAACATGCTTTCCTGCCTACAAAAGTATCATAAGATCATTAGAAGTCCCACATATATATATGATTATAAATCGTATTAATTATAGGCCTCAAATGCATGCTTTTATATGGAATATGTATGCCACTATAGGCCAACATCTAATGATGACTTTAGAAATGACTTACAAGCTTTTTTCCATGTATTTCTGCATGAAATTAAGCTTCTGAACCTATACAACTATAATCTGCACATGAACATGTGACCAACTCGTGCAAAAGGTTCCAATGTCAACTAAGATAATAAAGTATGCAACACATAAAAAGCTTTTAAACATTACCTCGAAATCCTGGGTCACACCGTGGAGGAGCACACGACACAAGGACCAACAACCACAGCAGGATCAGCAGCATGATGCTCATTTTCCGACGTTTATATTCCTTTTCGATGTGGCACCTCACACACGCAGCCAGAAGTCTGCAGAAATTCCCCCTGAACTTCCCTCACTTTATTACACGTATTACGGTCGACTATCATGTTACAGAGGAAGTGGCTCTGAGGTGAAGTGGGGACATGTGCAGGAGAATGAGAGCGTCGGCTTTGCAAATATGGCGAAGATTTACGGAGATGCACGTTCAATGAAAAAATGGCATATTCATTTAAGCACGTTTGAGTTTAGTTTTTGAAGTTTTGGTCCAGGAGAGTTTTTTACTTTGCTTTCAAGATTAATAAAAGTGAAAATATCCCCTGTTCCTCATCTGAATTGTCATCCTGCAGGCCTGTCTTCTTTGCCTTGTTTATGCACACCTGGTCCTTAATTGGCCGTAAAAAACAAAAACAAAACAAGGGCTGTCTGTAAAACTGCCTGTGGTCATTACATAAAAATAACATATTGTCAAAAATATAAGCAATGTATTGGGTCAATGTTTACTCTCTTATCATATTTTTTAAAACGTGTATGTCTATGTTATTGTTAAAATCAACTCTTGTCTAATTTTAAGTAGGCTAATACAAATGCTTTTAGCTAGCTGTTAAGCTTTTCAACTATCTTACAAATTGTCTGTCTTCTGTGAAATAAGGCCATGGCTTGCTAATTACTTACTTCAACATGTTTGGTAGGCTATGCCTTTCATCCAAGCAGGGTATTAAAGGGTATTAAAAAAGATAATGCGTTAATGTAGGCTTAAAATGTAGTCTACTGTATAAAACATCAATTTTCTCTATAAAATGACCTTAACATTTTGGTTCCATACAAAATAATGTGTGCTGCATCTGCAAATTGTGGCCTGCCTTGATTTTGCTGACAAATCGGCTACTCTAAAATGTTTGTCAGAGTTGAACCAAGCATTTACATCCTGCACAACAGACAGAAATAGAAGTCTGTAACCATTTTCATTTAAATAAACATTGTTTCTGTCTGGGACAAAAATCTTTACCCGACAGAGAGAGAGCAGACTTCTTTGGGATCATAAGGGACTTAAGCCTTGTGAAAAACTGGAGCTCTACTGTCTTTATTTTCTTAAAGATAGGCTACATCCTGGTGCAGAGATTTAGGCTAACCCATATGACCCCAGTTATAACATTTACCATTGGTTTCAGAAAAGTCTTTTTTGATATTAAAATCTGAAATGTATAAAGCTCTAAACTTCATCTCATAAATATCAACATTAAAGCACTGGTAATCAAGCAATGTTCTTTAAGCCTTAATATACTCCTAAATGGGAAGTAATGTAATACCATGATAGCCTATAGTTAGGAGGCTGAGCCAAACCCTTGATTGTCTCAAAAGAATGCTTAATTTGCCTCAGCAGAGGTGATTGCCACTTGACCTGTCCTTCATTGTCAAGTGAGCAGCTCTACCTAATTTAAAGGGCCAGTAGACTATCATACACATACATATTTGTCATACATTGGGTTTCATTACTAATTTTAACTAATTATAGGGTGTTCTCTCCTTCAAGCTGGGCTGATTTGAATTAGCATAATAGGAAGCATGATTATTCATCATGCAGGCAGGCGGGCGCAGGACCCCTGGGTTCAAGACTGGTATCTTGGGAGTGAGCCTCAGAGTGAAATAGAAATATCCTCTGTATTCTGAATCAGGAATAAGAATGAGATCCATAATGTGGTCATTTATTATGCAGATAACATCACAACCTAGCCATATTAAATGTTCACTATATCTTTACAACATACTTTCTTTTTCAAACTGATTTACAATGTTATTGTTTTGTCAAGACATCCTCAATCACCGATGTAATGTGTCAGATAAGTAATCTGTGATGTACTGCCTTTTCTCAAAATGGAGCACAGAATTATTGTCCTTGATTATATATTTATAAGGAAAACTCAGAAGATATACACTTTCAAGAGTGGGTTGACACTCTTTTAACTCACTCAGTTAAGACCATTTTGTTTTAAACTATGACATTGACTAAGCTTACATTTCATTATGAGCTCGTTTCATCACCAATTTCTCTCATAACTTATTTCTGATGATTGGGGTGGATTGGATGATGTTTTATTTGAAAAAGCCCAACCCATGCCTTCATGATGGCATTGATATGCCCGTCGAAATGCAGAGGTGTTACTGGTTTAGTTAGCAACCAAATAATGCAAATTCCCTCACTTCAGGTTGCAATTAATTACTGTCGGTCTTTTTTTACTGTCGGTCTGTTGCATCAAATTGAGTCTCAGTCTGATTAAATTAGAATCGCTAATTGGCAAATGTTATCTTTGACCCATCTCTTTAATTACACTTGGCAATAATGCTGCTGCAACCGAGACATGTACACCATATATCATCTTTGATATCATAAGTGCCACGAGGCAGATGAAAACAAAATAAGGTGATTCAGAAACAGAGTGGTGACAACAAACCAACAGAGTTTGATTTGAGAATAACAAATTATGTTTCTATTCAAGTATCCATCTGTTTCAAATATTAAATATAGTTCCCCATTATCCTCAGTTATGATTCAAATAAAACATTTAGTATCTGTCATTTAGTGTCAGATCATTTTAACTGCACTGCTTGAATTGAATTTGGAAACTTACAAATTCAATCAAAGGGCATTATCTTGATTCAAAGACATTACTGTGAAAACATTCATAATTGTAATACTTTTATAATTGACAGCTTTTATTGCACATATTCCACTAATAGCTAATCACACTGCCAAATAGCAGCAAGTGGCTTACAGGAGGAACAATACATGTGCAGAAAGTACATCCAAAGAATTTTAATAACAAACCAGATTTTCTGGTGGAGAATAGAACCTCTGAAAAAGTCACATGTTCAATTCTGGCACAAACATATAACAAGTGTTTTTTAAACACTTCTAGCATCCCTATGCTACATCACCCTTTTATCTAGAGAAAATGTTGTTCCTGTACAGTGCAAAATATATAATAACATCATGTAAATATCCATAGAAACATTTTTAAACTGGCAAAACAAAGAACAGTTGTACAAATTCATTTCAGTCAAAAGTGGGTCGCCACTAGTACATTCAGTTTCAAACGCACAAAGGATACATTTAAAAGGATAAGTCTGTGATATTTTATGTTTTTTTCATGATCAGGAAATCTCATGAAAAGACTTAAATAGATAATTAATTGATGTAGCCAGTGATCTCCAACTTCAAATAAACGTACATTATCCTTGCCTCCGGGACTTGTGACTTTAATTCACAAGGGAGTTGGATTTAATTAACTAAAACACGTCAACACTAGATGTTCTCAGACTTAGTGCCGTAGGAACTTGGATTTTGGTAAAACGGCAATTACATTTTTACACGGAATGTTCTTTGTTTGTCAATTATCTAAAAACTCTTACGCTTTTGATCTGATTGACTTCTTCAATACCATGAACCAAGAAACTGTAGTTAATTTTCTTTTTCCAAAAAAATATACCCACACAGGTGTGTATTGATCTGTGTCAGAAAATAGTCCCCAAAAAAGGTTTTAGTATGATTTGCTTAAAAAAAACGACAGCGTCCAGGTTTCAGGAACAAATGTATAACCATTTTTAAAGTTACAATTTATATCTGTGACCAGTCCTGTTTTGCATTTCATACCTACTCGAATAAAGGCAAAAATACTACAGGAAAAAAAGGGTCCGAAAAATACTGAGTAATGGAGTGATACATTGTTAATTTTGCTCTTTTCACGGACCTCGTTAACAACAAGAAAAATATATAAAATATCACCAATCTTACCATTTAAAATCATGTTGTAAATGTTATTTGCCTTTGGCTCCTGTAACTATAGTAGCTCTGAGAGAATTAGACAAAGTGCATCAATATTCAGTGACTGACATGACACTGCGAAGTAGTCTAACATGGTCAATACAGAACATGGCAATAATGTGCAGCAGTTGAGTAAATTATCCAGAAGCTGTAGCAAAAAAGTATTTCCTTCTTTTCGCTCCAGCTTCTATCGACTATCCGCTCCCAGCTCTGTCCCTGCGTTTGGTGACAGAAGAAAGGTCTCTACATGTGGATTTTGCCAAAATCATTACAAAGTGTTAGGTTCAGTACAAAAGGCCACTTTATACATGTTGCTCAAAGAGAAGAAGGGACCGTGTCGGCTGCTTTGTCCTTCAGTTTGAGATTCATCTGAACCCACGACTCCTCTGAAGAAATTGATTTGTGTGATCTATGTGGTTTTGTGTGTTTACGCCGATGAATCACAGATGTCTTGTTTGCCAATTCTGTCTAAGGACAAAGTTTCCACATTGTTCTCGTCGCTCCCTATCCATCTCCTCTTTCGCCCCTTCACCCTCCCTCTCAGTGTCTTGTCATTCTTCTCCACCCACTGCCTTCCTTACGTATGCTCTCTCTTCACCCCAACCCACATGATGTCCCCTCCATCAGCTCGATTTCCCCTCCTTTACAATATCCTGTGTCTCTTCTCATTCTTCTCCTCCGCCCACCTTCTTCCATGAGGCAACGTATATTTTAGGCCCGTCATGTGTATCTGCCATTTCCGCCGCGCATTTGCCATTAGCTGATCCTCTGGAGACAGTAGTCGTTCTCCGTGTCTAAAGAGCTGTTGTGGCCAGACGAAGGGTACAGGTCACGACGGAGCAGCCTGTTGACGACAGTAACCAGGACTTTCTTGTACTGCTGACGAAGGAGGGAGTAGGCAAAGGGGTCCGACGCAGCCTTGCTGTATGTCAGGCACTTACTGATGATTCCCCAGCGGCGGTTGATGTCCACGAAGGGGAGAAGCTCGACCAACCTGAAGGGGAGGCAGCAGAAACATGAATAATCAAAGTACATTTTAGTCAGATGTGTTTTTTTCTTTAGTTTCTCAAATGTTCAAAGTACCTATAAAGCCTTTTACACATTGGGGACTGTTTGAAAGGGTCAACATGGTAAACTCAATGCGCTTAAATTGCATTAGAAGCTCTTAAAAACGATTTAATCCATTCTTTGACCTGCACAAAATGGTCATCTGTGGCATCTACAGTCACTGTCTGGTTCAGAAATTATTTAGTGAGCAGGAATCACTATTCTATGTTTACAATTTATTTGGGAAATGTTATGCATTTAAGTGAATATTGCAAATATAGCATAGTGTTGCTACTGTACACTGAAGTTTTAAATGGATTTTAAACTATTTAAAGTTCTTTAAATAGTTGCATTTTAAGCACCTTGCATTTTATGATTACAGACATTGTACAGAAGATTCAAACTGCCATTAGAAGAACTAATGGAGCAGAGAAATAAAGGGAAATATGACACGATTGTAATTCTCCCTTATACATTTAGTTTGGCATAGAGAAACAGTTCTTGAGCTTTGGTCTCTAATGGCAATCCTTCGTTTTTTCATTGTGATGCAAATGTTCCACTTCACCGTGAAATCTAATCACAGCACAGAACAAGTGAGGAGGTGTATTGTGCAGCAGAGGACAGCTTAGACCTGCTAATATGAAATGCAAAGCACTATGATTCATTTTAAAAATAAGTGTGTAGGGGAGCTTCTTTCTTTTATGAAATGGCATTTTAAATCTATAGAGCATTACAAAAAAGAAACAATATACATGACAAGGTTTATTGTATTTACTATCTTTGTTTGATTTTTTTCATAAAGGCATTGCTGGTGGTATTTGTCAGTACCAATTCAACAGTTTTATACTAAATACATAAATACTGGAGGCTTTGGCTTTTACATATTTGAACCATAGGGTTTACATACCAATCATTTACACACATGTCTGCACATTTTAATGTCAATAAATAAAAATGTCATGTCAATTTAAGATTACAACAGAAGGTGAAGCAAATTCCCCTTGTCTCTTCAGTATAATGTTAATTTAAAGGCAGAACAGATACATGAGTAGCAATGATTAGAAGTTTTGTTTTTAACAGCAGGCTACTTCCAGTGGGTAGTGTCAGGGGGTTACTCCAATTTCTCAGACACTTTATCCCTGTTAATGTGTCCTCCCTCTTCCCACTCATATGTGCATGCGCCACATATGTCAAAGTGATGGATCATCGCACCACATCTCGCTGACAATCTGCTCCTCAAGCTTTTCCTATTTTTTCTGGAACACACAACTTGTTCTCTGTATGTATTGCCCTAAACTGTGTGTTTCAGTGGAAGCAGCATGGCAAGGCACCTCTCAAAGGTGACTTATGAGCCCTTTTATGGTTCAGATCAACTGTTTTTTTGTACTTTAAGAGTGGGATTGGGTCTAATCTGAACAAACAAGGTGACAATTCTGTATATTCTAGATGACGAGAACTCTGGATGTAGTATAATTTGTCTTTTAATAGTTGCACTTAAGTCTATTATGTGATGTTTTTGTTACTGAAAATTCAACTTACCTTGTGATAACATAGGGGGCAAAGCAGATGATGAACGAGCCGATGAAGATGCTGATCTTCTTGGTGGCTCTCTGCTTTCTCCTCTTTTGCTCTGCTAAACATCTTTGTTTCACGCTGAAATCAGAAAAACACTTTTACGACTATGAATTAAACATTTAAAGGAGGGAGAAAAAAACATCCCTGTGTATAAATAAATCACTTACCTTGGGTGAATGTCGACCAGGAGGAACAGAGTCTGCATGGTGATAATGTCAATTCTTTTGCAGTGAAACCTCGCCACTTTCAGCACCTTCAAGTATGTGAAACACAATATGAGCAGGGAGAGCATGAAGCTGGTGGCGTGAAAAACCACTGTGAAGATAGTAAACTTAATCCTGTCTCCCCCTTCCACTGTGGGCTGTAAGGTACAGGACGCGTACACTGAGCTGTAGTCCACCCAGGAGAAGAGCAGGGCCGTGAGGGAGAAGGTGAAGGAGTGCAGCCAGGAGTAGCACACCATGATCAGCGCGTCCTTGTAGCGCATCTTGGCGGAGTAGCTGAGCGGGAACACCACCGCGATCCACCGGTCTATGCTGAGCGCCGCCATGCTCAACATGGTGTTGGCGGTGAGGAAAGTCTCCAGGAAGCTCACCGTGTGGCAAATGCAATCCCCGAAAGGCTGCTGGTCCCGGATGACCCCCACCAGGGTGGCCGGCATGTTGAGCACAGTGATGAGGATGTTGCAGAAGGACAGGTTCATGGTGAAGACCCCGGGCACCTGTCGGCGGATCTCGGTGCTGTGGACGAAGCATAGCAGCACCAACAAGTTGGACAACAGCGAGACCACCGCGACCACGATGATGAACAGAGCGAAGATAACGTCAGCAAAGTCCATGTCTCACTCCGGAAAGTCCCCTCTCGGGTTACCTGTTGTTGGTGATAATAAGGAATTAAAATCAACCATGATCCCTGCAGGAGCTCCTCCAAAGATTATTTTCAATTAAATCCTCCTGTGTGCGCGCGTCCCTGTCCTCTCCAACTTCCACGAGTGCTGTCCAGCGTGCTGAAGCGTGCCTCCATCTCTCTCTTTCTCTCTCTCTCTCCTCAAACTTGTCGATTATTTTCAATTAACATCCGGCAGGTGCAGGTGTAGAGCTTAAAGTGAAGCAGAGTGTGGCTCAGATGGAGAATGAGACTGAGCAAATGAATAATCGCTTTTACGCATAACGTGAAGAAACAGTACTCACACCCATAGACGTGGGAACAACTTGTCCTGGTCACAAAACACCCAAACTCACACTTTTGTTTTCTACATATTGGAGATTTCCAGATGTCTTTGCGCAAACGAATCAATCATCCCGCTTACTGTAAGTTATTCACATGCGAGTTTCTTCAGCATCGACCACGGATCCCTCGAAATCAATTTAGTTCTGAGGCAAAGGGTGCAGAGAAATCCAGGGATGTTTCTCCTCCTGGATAATTGGAGACGCTTCTGCCGTGACCAAACGGCACCAGGTGCACACGCGCGCCGGAGATGCGCGGGGGCAAATAGATCCTTTTCCTGAAATGAATTATTCATAGCCCCGTGGCTACTGCAGATTCACTGTGTACAATCATAATGTGTGTCTGGTATGCAAAAATATACAAAAAGACTGATACAAGAGAATGCTGCTGGGTAAACTGGGAGTGACGCTCACAGTTGGTTTAATAAGCCTGAAATGTAGGGGACATTAAAGACATCAGCAATGATTCTTTAGGGGGCAAACATATGTCTTATTTTGTATTTTTTTTATTTAAACCCTGCTAATTTGCACACAAATACTTGATTACCCCTGATGAGCAATAATATGTCTGTATACAACTTTTTTTTACAATTGGTATCCAGTACCAGCTAGTTATTTGATTCAATATGGTCACTTTTCTGAAAAACAAATATACTGCTACCTTTTTTTTTTACCATGGTGTATATCTGCTGTATTGTTTTAGTTTTTTACTTATTGTGTTCATGTGCATACTTAGCCATTTTTTTTAAATATTTGTCCTTACTATCTGCTGTTGTAATCATGTAAATCACCCCGTTGCGGGACAAATAAAGGATTTCTGATTCTGAACATACAAAATCAAAAAAAATATTCATCAATCAACAAAACCAAAAAATCCCATTGCAACACACACTCCCCCCTACCCCTGCATGGCAAAGACAAAATAACGCTTTTTTTCCCCCATGAACCAGTGTGATGGGAATAGCTGCATCAGCACTTTCTGACACCCAGTCCGATGTTTAAATAGGTCACATTTTCTGGAGATATTGAACAATATATATTCGTTTACACAATGTCTTGGAATCAGGCTAATCAGGCATCCTTTATGAGTGTTCAAATAGATAATATCCCTCCTTTATTGTAGATATTTACATTGCCAATCATTTAAATTGTTATGTATAACAGTTCACTACCATCCCCCCAAATCTGCTCTTCTTCTTCTTCTTCTTCTTCTTCTTCTTCTTCTTCTTCTTCTTCTTCTTCTTCTTCTTCTTCTTCTTCTTCTTCTTCTTCTTCTTCTTCTTCTTCTTCTTTAGATTTGTCTATGTCCATATACCCAAAAGAGAAACCATGTTGGTTCAGAGGAAAGTCTAAAAGAAATAGGATTGAAAGAGGAGTTTAAAGCCACAACTGTTTGTTTTACTTTATCTCATAATACACTAGGCATAACATTCCTAAATTGGAGTAAAATGCTGTAGCCGGTGACAGAAGTGCACTTTAGAAATGTTTGCACTCGTTACTGAGTCATGCCCAGTCCTGGAGAAGCCTGCAGACAGTGACTCACTGAGGTCAGACACAGCCTGCAGGCTTTTTGTATATCTTTTCTCCATTGCATTCGCTTTATACTCCCACTTGTTATGAGGCTCCTGGGCTTGTGCCTGAATCACCACCCCCTCCAATTAAGTGCTCTGTTTTTATTTATTTAATGTCATAGGATAAACTTTACTCAGGGCGATGATAGTTGAGTATTTACAGTGATTAAGTGAGTCACCATTAAATGTACGCTAGGGAAACCCAACCACCTGTGAAGTGACTGCCTCTGAAGAGCATCACAGCACAGCAGCGTATGAAGGTCTTTCATATGTGAAGGTGTGAATGTGCCAGAGTGTGTTTTGGAGTCAGAGAAACAAAGCAGCAGAGGGGGATGTCAGTCACCTTATAAACAAGCGATCAAATGCCTGGGAGAAAGCTACAGCTGGGTTCCTGGGGGGGGGGAAGTGCAAAGCTATTTATAGGTCTGATGGGGTGTCACCTCCAATATCTCTCTCAGCGCCGGTGTATTACCTAACCGAGGTATCAGAGCGAGGCACTCTACAGAACCACAAATGAGATTGCTTTTAGAGGATGCTTTTATGTGTGTTGGGTAATCAGCTGCTGCAGTTTTAGGTTTCCTCTCAAATGCCTCAAAGACTGGTCGCAGTTTAACAAATGAATTCAAACACAGCGAGATATCCGGTGAGACAGAAAGACTGGCCAACTCCACGTTTTGGACTCTACATCATACGATACACTAAAGCTAGTTTATAGGGTGACTAAAAGGGAGGAAGACACTGATCTCCAGCTCTTTGCTTCGGAAAAAGAAACTCAATTATGAGTCCAAGCACAGATGGGAAGTAAGGAATGGATCCTTAGGAGATCAGATGAGCTGGACAGGTGCAATATTGGTGAAATGAATAATAAATGGCCTAGATGTGACCGCAAATGGCCAAAGCCATATTACAGACCAACAGTCCATTACACAAGGATTTGGATGTCCATATTTCAGAAGATGGAACCAGCTAATGTTGACCATTTATGCTTGATTATAACTTAAATTATTTAACCGAATACACATAACGGCTCCCAGCCTGTTGCTTAACATCCGTTAAAGTGTTGTTCAACTTGCCTATAATGCTGAAATTATAAGTAAAGAAGACAGAAGCCCATATTACTTTCAGCTAATTGCTTAGGTTCCTCACGTTGTGTCTGGATTGTAAGAATTGTTTGTTTTAAACTCTTGAGAGATGGCAGTGGTTTTGCATTGACCTGGAATGGTTAGGGTAAGGTCAAAGGGGTTTTCAAAGTTTCACAAATAGAGGTTGACTATATATACTACTTACCTACATTTAAGTGGCCATGCACACTGTCTAAAATGTGAGTTGAGTGTCCTATGATCCCCTGACTGCAAACCACTGTCTTGGTCCGTGAACATTTCTTTAAATAAATGTGCAAGTTACCAAAGAAATATGCAAAACTTTCCTGGCACCAACTTCTCAAATGTGAGGCGTGTGTGTGCACAGATTATTGGCAAAGCAATTGTGTGGAAACCACAAAATGGAGGTTGAATATGCAAGTGGTTAGATGTAGGATATATAGGAAGGGAAGGGTCCATGGTCTCACCACTTTACCCCCCTGTAGTAGAAGTTAGGATGTACACCTGCAGACCAATAAACAAGGAACTTTTTTGACAGTAAATAAAGTTACCCTCGATAATGAAAGTAAATATTAGTTGCAGACCTAACAGGCTTACATTGTTGGATTCGATGTCATCATGAAAAGAGCAGAGGGCACAAATGGAGCATCAAAATGAATGTTTTGCACGACGGAACCGAGCACACTGAGAGAAAGTAGATCTTTGTGGCCGGCTCACAACCTCTGCCTTGTAACAAAGAATGCTCTGAAAGCTCACAACTCTCCGTTCCAACCCGTGATCTAAGGAAACAGAGTGTGACCTTCATACAACACAACATCCCTTAGGCAGCAAGACAAGTGACAGAGAAGGTGTGATCTCGGCAAAGTAATGAAATCCCCCCCGCAGGTACCTGGAGTGTCACTGGGAGCTTGCACCTGTCTTGTATAGTAGTGAGTAACATGATGCCTCTGGACAGCGTTACGTAACAAACAAGCAGTGCATGGATCCTTTGATCATGTCTTATTCAAATACTAAATATTCATATATGAAACTACATATTTTTGCTCATTTACTACTATTTTTGTGTTTTTGTTTTACTGCCAACCCTTTTTCAGAACATGTCAATGGATTTTTGATTGATTTCCCATCCTCAAGTTAATTAGATAATCCATCAACGTTCAGTATTCAGTCAGGTGTTTTTAGTTTGAACTATTCCTCTAAGCCATGTTAATATTGGTGGTAAACGATGAGGCTCGAAGCAAAAAATTACAAAATAAATGTTATTGTATTGACCAAAAGACGAACACATGGATGGTTTATCAAACTGTTATGGTATAAGAACTAGCCTTTGTTGTTTCCCACAAGTATCTGAATACACCATTATTAAGTAATGTATTCCAGTTCCTGCTTGCAGCTACACTACACTACACTGACTAACTATACAATAATAGCTTAATGGGATGGATTATTTAAACCAAGTTTTAGTTTTCTGCAGCTTGATTTTCATATTGACATTGGTTGACCACATGCTGCCTAGAATGTAGGATTTCAGAGTTTGTCAAATACATTAAAATGTGCAAATCCACCAATAAAGTCCTAATTCATCTCAAACTTCATCACCTTGTCTCCTGGCTCAGTTGCCATCAGGTGTGCATATAAATAGCTTAGTTGGTCTGCAGGTTGGCAAACATATGATCTCTTAATTTGAGCTCATATTGAGTCAATATAAGGATGGAGATCAGGTTAGGGTTGGAAACCAGGTCAGAGGTCATTAACCTTTGTATACAAAGGTTAATGACCATGTACACATACTCCGATCCATCATGTACAGATCAATGTTTGAACCTAAGGTTAGGTATACTTTGAACAAACAGCAAACAATCCATGTTATAAACAAACCCACCTGAAGTAACACACCACAGCTCCCACCTTACACATAATGAAGGACATATTCCATGTATCGTATACTGCCTGAGTTGCATTTTGTGTTTTATTGCAGATTGCTGAGAAGTTACCAGTAAGGATGAAAGGACGTGGGCCTGTTGTGAATGACAGCTCAGGATTCTGTTTACAGGGTTAGTGTTGGTGTGACAGATGGGCCTCCTCCACACGGCTCAGTGTATGACAACATACCTAAAGCACCACACAGAGACTAAACTGTCCACAAATGTCCAACGTACTGTATACGTATGTCTCTGTTAGAACTTTTTTACTCTCAAGTTTTAATGCTAGCTCAACATCATGAGGGCCACCTTGAAGATGTCTATGAGGATGGGTGACTTTTTTTTAATAAATATTATTCAGAACGTATTGACATAGACATATTGATATTTATAGTAATACAACTGTATACTTTGCAAACTTTATTAAAGCTTCACAAAGATCTCTTAAATAGTCATCCAAGTACGGATTCTG